GCCTCCACCCTAATGGCGATGGCCTCAACCTACAAGCGATGGCCTCCACCGAATAGCAATGGCCTCCGCGATGGCGTCAACCTACAAGCGCTGGCCTCCACCGAATAGCAATGGCCTCCACCGAATAGCAATGGCCTACCAACCTAATAGCGATGGCCTCCCAACCTAATAGCGATGGCCTCCACAAAATAGCAATGGCCTCCCAACCTAATAGCGATGGCCTCCACCGAATAGCAATGGCCTCCACCAAATAGCAATGGCCTCCCAACCTAATAGCGATGGAATAGCAATGGCCAACTTACTAGCAATGGCCTCCCAACCTAGTAGCGATGGCCTCTAACCTAATAGCAATGGCCTCAAACCTAATACCAATGGCCTCCAACCTAATGGCGATGGCCTCCACCTAATAGCGATGGCCTCCAACCTAATAGTAATTGCCTCCAACCTAATAGCAATGGCCTCCCAACCTAATAGCGATGGCCTCCACCGAAAAGCAATGGCGCGATGGCCTCCCAACCTAGTAGCGATGGCCTCCACCTGATAGCGATGGCCTCCAACCCAATAGCGATGGCCTCCAACCTAATTGCGATGGTCTCCACCTAATAGCGATGGCCTCCAACCTAATAGCAATAGCCTCCACCCAACAGCAAAATCCTCCCAACCTACTAATAGCGATCGCCTCCACCGAATAGCAATGGACACCCAATAGCGATGGCCTCCAACCCAATAGCGATGGCCTCCACCTAATAGTGATGGCCTCCCAACCTAATAGCGATGGCCTCCAACCTAATAGCGATGGCCTCCACCTAATAGCGATGGCCTCCAACCTAATAGCGATGGCCTCCAACCTAATAGCAATGGCCTCCAACCTAGTAGCGATGGCCTCCACCTAATAGCGATGGCCTCCAACCTAATAGCAATGGCCTCCAACCTAATAGCAATGGCCTCCAACCTAACAGCCAATGGCCTCCACCTAATAGCGATGGCCTCCAACCTAATAGCAATGGCCTCCAATCTAATAGCAATGGCCTCCAACCTAATAGCGATGGCCTCCAACCAAGCAAAACTGTAACTCTTCAGGTCAATCCAAGACTAAGGTACCAAGTTGCAAATGCACATGATGACCATGATGTCTGTCCGCTTTAGCCATGTGTCTTTCCGACTTTTGGTCTCATGTGTACATGCAAGAGATCTTTCTAATTCTTTCTCCCTCTCTCTCGTTCTCTCTCCTGCTTTGTGTCGCCATCAAAGTGTCTTTTCTTCTTTGGCTTCCGCCCTGCACATGTCCAGCCCAGCTCACACACTCATCAGCAAGTCACCCATTTCTTTCCAAATATCCAAACACCGGATCCTATGTGTGTGTGTGTGTCCCACCCTGGACAAAGGGTCTTCCACCACCATTTCTCCACAAGCAGGGGTTATGACCTGCATGGAGACACCTGTATTGCTTCTCCATCAACGAAGCTGGCAATACATGGTGAGGATATCAGTTCCGGACGCGGAACTGACGTACCTGCTTTCAACACAATGACTCCACTGGTCCACCCTGCCGCTGTTCGTTGTTTTCATGGTCCTTCATGTTACCACCCCCAAACCCACTGCAGCCTTACAGCTGACTTGCAGCCGCGCTGAGTGTCCGATCGTCTTTTCGAGTGCCACTGCAAACAAAGTTAAACCATACTGTTTTCACTGACCTTTGCGCCCTGCGGTTCCTCGCCTTTCTTCCCAACGTGATACTTGCATTAACTGAAAATCCAAGTTCGAAGTGTGCATGTAACCTTTGGAATCACGGGGATCCTTTTGGATTGTAAATAGCAGGGGGCACCTGGCGCAGAGATAGGGCAGGTGCCAACGAAAACACCTATCTCTTGCTTGTGATATCGACGTGGGACGTCCTGTCGACGTACCTGCAACTGTGTGTGGCGTTGAGTAACCACAACCCACTCTAGAGCATAGGCTGGTGGAAGGCTCTCCCAGCACCTCCCAAAGGGTAGAAACAGAGGCCCCCTGGCTATGTGTTTAGCATGCAATAAGCATCCTCTGGGTGGCGCTGGTCTAGATGTTTGTATGCTTACTACAAGCGAAGGCTTTCATCAAGTCACCTCAATGACAGTCATCATGAGGTTTCAGAGGTCGGCAGATGTGCATTAAAGGGCTAGTATGTTCATAGGTTTTGGAGGCCTGAGTTTTTGCTTTATTCCCTGGACCCTCAGGCGGTTTACTTAGGCTGGCGTGTGGCCAACCGGCCAACCGCAACCGAATCAGTACGCATGTGTGAGCTTTGCCGCTGAAAGGAAGACAAGAGTTGTGACAAGAGCCATACCTGAGGCTCAGCTATGCCTAAAATCCGGTCAGAGACTTCCGCTCAAAATCTGCGATGGCAAACGTTCTGCCAACTAGCAGAGATCCTTGACTGCCCATCACCAACGCTACAGTTCGTTTTCTTTCGTGTCCGGCCGTGTTCTGGATTGGTCTGCATCGGGCAACTTGCCTCCCTACTAGTAGTTGAAAAATCTGTCCCATCAACAACCTGAACTTGTATATCTTGGCTACTGAGATGTCCTGAGGTCACTGGCTACTCATGGCTACTGTGTTCCAGGTCCGGACCGTCCCACGACGGTGCGATGTCAAGTCCACACGACAGTGTCCCCGACGCCGCCTCGCTTCGCTTCGGAGTTTGGCTCTGGCAAGCGAGGCCTCAGACCGTTCGGCTGTGCGGGTCGGACGTCATCGACATGTCCTCTCACAAGTTCGTCTGTGTCGAGTAAACAAGTGAGAAACGTCGGACCAAAAACCTGTAGAACATGTTGGGCCTGATTTTTTAGCCCAAAACACAGAACCCTTCGTGGAGCAAATGATCAACTCAAACTCCATGGCTTGAGTCAACTGCAGCGCCAATGCCTCGAATCACTGGAGAGGTGCGCATGAAGTGGATGAGGCATGATGGGGCTACTTGGTGTGCCCGAAGATTGACGAGGCGCCTCTTTGCAAGAACTGTTCTGCTCAGGTGGCCGTTGCCATACATATGGGCATGGCGTGCCATTTCCAGCGGTTTGGACCACGGCAAGCTTGTCAATGCCACAACCGATGCAAATAGCCCGATTCCAAGCCCCGCTGACAGAACAAATCAATTCTCAAATGCTCTTGAAATGGCGATCGGTGTTGATCCATTGAATCCACTGTCACTTTAACCTAATAGCAATGGCCTCCAACCTACTAGCGATGGCCTCCAGCCAAATCGCGCCAAAAAGCAAAGTGTGCGGAGATGGGTCACAACGAGTCACAAGCCATTGCATGCAATCGACACCTGCGCGTGCGCTTGGGGCCCTGCTCTTTTCCTGCCTGTCAGCTCAATATGCCCAAACAAGGTACAGCTGCAAGGTATCGCCTTCCCTTGCATGCAAGTAATTATGCAAGTGTCGCAGAGTGTCCAATACTTCCAAGGGCTAAAAAGGGTTGGTCGACGCTGGCTCTGGTAGGATGTTATAATGATTGTGCATGTGCATGTTTCTCCACACTTTACTAGCATGAAGCGGCCAGGATGCAGAAGAGCCCAAGACAACTATCCTGCGACCAAGAAAAAAGAGGGGAAGAGGGGCGACCAACAAACCATAAGTTGCTCGACCTGCTCCGGTACGTGTTGGCAGCATCCGGTACGTGTTGGCAGCATCCGGTACGTGTTGGCAACATACAACCGAGTTGTGACGTTCCAATTTCATAGAAATAAAAATCCATTCGTGAAGCCCTTCCATAGGGCTTAAAATCACTGGAATTTCTGGGATCGGACTTTAACTCGCCTGACCGCTTCAGATCACCATAGTTGCAATCAACTCCGACAGGGAAACCCAGGACGTTTACAGGATGTTACAGGTGTGGGTGGATCCACGCGTCCATTTGTTGGACCGGGGACTTTCCTATTCCCAGGGAGCTCCGGCTTTCTGTTGATCTCGGCCATGCGAATTGTGACATCGAAAAGCTTGATATCCCCGGAGGATT